GTCCTGGGGCTCAGGGAACAGGTGACATTTATGAATAGTAATGGTTATTACAGCACGGCCCATACATACCCAACTAAGCATCAACTCCTCAGCAGAACATAATCTTGTCAGGGCTGAAACGTGGCCCGGAGGGACTCATTTCCACATGCTGCAGTGCATAAAGAGAGTTGGGGTACAATTATGCCTGCTATCATTTAAGCAGATTTATACGAGTGTGAGCATCTTGCAAGTATAATTAACCACCAGTAAAGATCATTTTTCAAGGAAAATAATAACAATTTTCAACATATATATGGGAACAGTTAGTGATCTTACAACTAAAAAAATATATAAACGTAATTTCTAAAAATAGCTAGTTCCTGATTTACCAGGATTAAAGCTGGTTAAAAATGCAGCTGAGGAAAGGCTTTCTTGGGGTGGGTGGGTGGTGAACTAGCAGAGGGGGTTGGGCTAACAAGAAGGGTGAATGGGGAAGACTATGGTGAAAGTACATCCTTTGCATGTGTTTAAATACAACAATGAAGCCCATTGAAATTGTTTTAGAAAGTGGGGCCGAATAACAGAGGGGTAAGACTGACTAGAATATACTGTGTACATGAGTTGGAAATGTCACAATGCACCCTAGCCACAGAATATATGCTTAAAAAATGCTACCCTTGGTGCTAGCTTCATGTCCTAAGAGAGTGGGTATTTTTACTCACTGGTCTGGACAAATCTGGCCTAAGAAGTGTGTTTCATGGGAATTCCTGTTTTCAATATTCTAGCTTGCTCAGACACCAATTAATATATCAACAATTTATTTCCTAGAACTTGCCACTTAAAAAATTAAGTTCCGGCTGGGAGTGGTGGCACACACCAATCATTACGCACCAGGGAGGCTGAGGCGAGAGGATCACAAATTTGGGTTCTAACTGGGTTACACTGTGAGTTCCCATCTGTAAACAGACAAATGTATGTTTGTGAATGGAATATTCCTCATAATGATCATTTCTGCTCTCATGTTATTTAGGTTTGGATAACCTTGACTGTATAATCCTAAGTCCTAGCTCCCTTTGGTCTATGAGAACTAAAACTATGAAGGACAGGCAGGAGTAAATGTTGGTATAAATTATCTTTAAGTAGATAATCACAACTTCAAATGGTGCCAAAGAAACTGACCAGCTCCTATGCAATCAGCCTGCCTGATTTCAGTAGCATCCTTCAGATGCTGTAGTCCATGTCTGCTTGCAGACTTTCCTTAAAATGCAGAAATAGTTGGGCACCGGTGGCTCATGCCTGTATCCTAGCTACTCAGGAGGCTAAGATCTAAGGATCATGTTTCAAAGCCAGCCTGGGCAGGGAATTCCATGAGACTCTTAGCTCCAATAAAAGCCTCTTAGAAAACTGGAAGTGGAGCTGTGGCTCAAGTGGTAGAACACTAGCTTTGAGCTGAAGAGCTGAGGGCCAGGGCCCAGGCCCAGAGTTCAAGCCCCACGACCGACAAAAAAAAAAAAAAAAAGGCAGAAATATTCAGATAAACCAAGATGCATATAAACTCTCTAGTTATGTTGCCATAAATAAAGGCTATAGCAACATTTTGTCATGTTTACATTAAAATGTTCTTAATTAAGAAGGCAGAATGAGCTGGGCTCCAGTGAATCATGCCTATAATCCTAGCTACCAGGAGACTGAAATCTAAGGATTTGAAGCCGGCCTGGACAGGAAAGTCCCTCTAAGACTCTTATCTCCAATTAACCTCTCAAAAACCAGAAGTAGAGCTGTGGGTCGAAGTGATAGAGCTCTAGCCTTTAGCAAAATAGCTTAGGGACAGCACCCAGGCCCTGAGTTCAAACCCCACAACAACAACAAAAAGGCATCATGTTTTAGCATTTTGCTAAATGTAAAATTTTTATTTTGGAAAAAGATCAAAAACCCAACAACAACCACAACAAAAACTATAAAGACAGAGAATCAGGCTTATCATATTTCTATTTAGTGTTTAAAAAAAGCAGGGTGGGGGGCAAGGAGTATTTTTAAAAGGAACAATACCACACAGACAGGAAAAGGACAACACACAATATGTAGTAAGTACTCATTTTGCTGGGTATTGCCCACGTGGCCAAAGATCATGCTCTCAAAAATGCCTCAAGGCCCTACTACGGGAGGCAAGGCATCCAGTACTCCCTCTACACAGCTGGAACCGTGAGGTTCTACTTCCCAGCTTCCTCATCATGCACTTCCCTTGCCATTCACAAAAATAATGCAACAGCAGCACCTACAGCTATATATACTAACATGGCAGTGTAGAATGACCAAATTGGTTCTAAAGGTTAAAAGCAAAGTAACCAATGAGGTAAAAAAGTTATAGCATATATTGAATCACTCAATGATACATAGGAAATCATTTGTTCTATGCATTAAAAGTTAAAGAGCTTTAGTTAAGAGTATAAAATTTTTCATTTAGATTTAATAAAAAAATTAGTTCCTACTTTTTTATATATTTGCAAAGCATTAGTAGGGAAAAACCCTACTACCCATAGTTAGAAATGACTGAAATTAAAATTTTAATTTTAGGTGACAGCTGGCACATCAATAAGAGTATGCCTGTGCTAAAACCATAGGAAGCAAATATGTATTTATCAAAAGCACTTTAATAGACACAATATTGAAGCCCCACAAGGCAGATCACCAGACTAATAAAGAACTGGCTACTTATTGTGACGTGGTAAATCACTCTAAGTACAAGCTGAGATTATTTGTCTCCGAAACCACTGAAGATTGGTGTGGTGAACCTGCAATACATTATTTTAAAGTGTCCTATATGCCTACAACCTATCATTTCTCCACAGAGTCTGACAGTTGATCTTTCCTGCTCACAAAAGCTAATCTAAGACATTCTACTCTCTACCATGAGCACTGGTCATTTTATAAATTACACAATGAAAATAACATATTGATCAAGATCAATTTTATTATGAATGAACTCATCTTTTGAACAGCACAAGCCACCCACAGTGGCTTCTATTCCTTCAAAATTTACAAAGATCAGGCCATGGTAGGTATCCTGAGCACCTGAAAAAGTCCTGTCAAAGGAAAAAAAAATGACAACAAATTTAGTTCAAAGACAACTGGCTTTGAGATTCTAAATTTGGACATTTCCTTCTATAAAACAGAGCAATGTTCTGATGGACTGATAGAAGATACTAGTTTTCTACAGTGAACACTAAAAGATGCAAAAACAAAGAGCAAAAAGTAGACCTATCATTTCAAATGTACAGGGAGATCGAATAGAAAAACACTTGATTTGTTCATCTCAGGTTATTTTATTCTAAGATTAAAGCAGAGAGAACTGCATTGTTCTGCCAACTCAAGCTGGCCCATTTGGAAATTTTATTTAATTTTCCAGTACTGGGGCTTGAACTCAAGGCTTGGACACAGTCCTATAGCTTTTTGCGTAAGGCTGGTGGTGCTCTACTACTTGAGCCATAGCTCCACTCCTTTTTTGGGTGGTTAACTGGAGGTAAGACTACCCTGCCTGAGCTGGTTTTGAACCAGAATCTTAAGATCTCAGTCTCCTGAGTTAGCTAGTATTTACAGGAGTGAGCCACCGGTGCCTGGGAATTTTAGCTGTTAGGTCTCTTATTTCTTAGGAAGTCAGATAAGAACCCGTTTCCTTTTGGTGACATGGGTAACTTCACTTTTTTTTTTGCTGTTCATGGGGCCTGAACTCAGGGCCTGGGTGCTGTCCCTCAGCTCTTCAGCTCAAGGCTAGCACTCTACCACTTGAGCCACAGCGCCACTTCTGACTTTTTCTGCTGATGTGGTGCTGAGGAATCGAACCCAGGGCCTCAGGCATGCAAGGCAAGCGCTCTACCACTGAGCCACCATCCCAGCCCCTAACTTCACTTTTTTAGTGTAGTATTCTAGGACCCAGTAAGGGTGCCTCAAGAAAAACAATGGCCTCCTCTGATTTTTACTAGCAGACCCAAACCCAAGTGTTATCTACCAACCTATTAAGCTGACAAACTACTCACCTACCTGGTAGTTACCCACTCACATGGTTAGTGTAAGATTTCCTGCTCAAGGATATTTACATGTTTAAGGACTGGTCCTTTCATTTATCAGTGAACTGATAATAGAATTCATGCACACTGGAAGCTTCTGGAATGGCTCCTAAGCATTAGGAGGACAATAGGAGCGCACCTGTATTAACTTGGGGTTGTATTTAGTTCAGCCATTCTTCTCAGATTCCCAACCTAGTCAATCACCCAAACAGCTATTTCAGGTCCTTGACCAAGTATTCTCAGGGGGGAAATACATCTAAACATGGCTGCTTCAAAGCAACTCTGATATGAATACAGAAACACAACAAGAAAACTAATCATGTGGGTACAGTGTATTTGCTATTTAAAGTTTTTGAGGCAAGTTTCATTTTTTTGGTTATCAGCTGATTCATTTTAAAGGACAGCATTAAAAGTATTCTAGAGATCAAACATGATTTAGATTTAAAACCTAGAATAATTATTGTCCAATAGAATGTTTAAAAAATACTAAATATACAAGATTTTCAGTGATAAAGGATTACTGAATTTCTCAGACAGGAATTCTGAGTAACTTTTTGAGTGAGGAGATTGACCAATTTTTCATCTCATCAAATTTGTGGGAATTTTTGTTGTTGTTGTAGCAGTACTGGGGTTTGAGCTCAGGGCCTTATACTTTCTAGACAGGTGATGTACCACGTGAGCCACAACCCTAGCACTTTTGGCATCACTATTCAAATAGAGTCAGGTGTATGCCTAGGTCAGCATCACCATGCCCAGCTTTACTGATTGAGATGTGGTCTTGAAAACTTTGCCAAGGCTGACATTGAACCAAATTTCTACCTCCTGAGTAGCTAGGATTACCAGGATGAGCCACCACACCTGGCCTCTTCATTTGTGTTTTCTTTACACATTACTAAAGACTTCTAACAAAGAGAAAGTATTACAATGGCCATCCTACTAAGAGAAGGTGATACAAAATATGAAAAAAGTTATTGTTTATTTCTTTGTTATACAAAGAAAATTAAGCACAGCCCAAGACATCTCAGTCCATCTTCTAAGTCCTTTCTGCCACAGTAACATGTAATAACAATGGCAAGTTGGATTATGAGTCCAGTTCAGGGTCAAGCTTCTCCACTTTGACGACTATCTCTGGGGCTGGAGCATCAGCAGAGGCATGGTGGGCCTCTGTCTCTGACTCAGACAGCACTTCCTCCTTGATCTTCACAGGCTTACCACTGGCTTCCTCCTCTTCATCTGAAGACTCATCCAGCTCCCATTCGTCATCGATGTCCATTTCAAATACTCTCACATGACGGAGATTTGAACTTAACTAAAGAAGAAAAGGCACATTAATGTGTGTCTCTGTGTGTGAAAGCGCACATGCACCTGGAACTGGGACTTGAACACGGGGCCTGAGCATCTTTTGCTCATGGCTAGCTTCTAGTGGAGCCATAGCTCCTGAGCAGCTAGAATTATAGGTATGAGCCACTGGTGTCAGGAGTCACATTAACAATTTTCTAACTAATGGCTTTACAAACAAATTTTATAAAATGAAGCAGAAATCAAAAGCTTTAAGCAAAGAACAGTTTTATAGGAAAGTTATATTTTTAACAATTTACTATAAAATCACCCAACTCCACCTTCATTTTACATAAAAGGATCTCCACACACCACAGTGGTGAATTTATGGAACTTAGAACCCAAACTATTTTTGCCAGTCCTGGAGCTTGAATTCTGGCCCTGGCTGCTATCCTTTTGTTCAACGGGAGCACTCTACCACTTGAGCCATAGAGCCACTTCTGGCTTTTTCTGTAATTAATTGGAGATAAGAGCCTCATGAACTTTCCTGCCTGGGCTGGCTTCAAACTAAGATCCTTAGATCTCAACCTCCTGAGTAACTAGGATTATAGGAGTGAGCCACCAGCACCTGGCTCTGAAATTGCTCTTAATTACTCAAAGTTTCTCCAAACAAGAAAACAAAATAGCTAGCCTGCTGCTTGCTCAGTTAACTGAAACCAAGGGACAGAATGACAACCAGAGAAGGAGCCTTGGAGATGACATGCTTGAGTACTCATACGATGCTGTATAGGAACAAAGCCATACTCACCACACAGGACACTTTGCGAAAACCATTCCCAGCAACGTACTGAGCTTTCATGCTCTCCAGTAACCGCCAGTGCTTCTCAAAGTGCAGGGTGCGTGTGGGAATAACACTGCTTTGTTCATCTAGCCTGGAGGAAAAACCAGCCCAGGAATCAAACAGGATCTCCACCTCCCACATTCACTAGAGGAGGGGTTTGGGACAACTGGGGTCCTACTGCTACCCACACTCCATTCCCAGATGACAAGACAGTCTGTAAAATTACTACATTCCACAAAGCCTTGGCTTCATTTTAGTAAGGTGTCCTTTGTTTTTGGGTGATGGGGAGGGAGGATACAGTACTAGAGATTAAATTCAGGCCTTGCACAACTGAGCTACGCACCCAGTCCTCAATTCCCTTTCAAGGAGAGCAGATGCCCACGTTTTTAAATTAGAGAAGGAATCTCATTACTTTAAATCCTCAAGCAACTAAAACTATCTCCTAGAACTGACTTTAGACTCTGCAATGGAACTGGAGTCCCAATTCTGGAAAATACTAAAGGCAAGTTTATAATTATTAGTGAAAACAAACTAAAGTTTGCTATCCTTTAAAACATAATTCAAATGAAGTCCTCTTCTCCATTCCAAATAATTCCTCATCTTATTCTAGCAAAAATTGACAATGATTAAAGTCGGCACATTTTTTTCCGTTTTTTAATTTTTGAGGTAACATACAATTGTAACATTAGGAAATTTGTAACATTTGGGAAGACTTTATGGCATGAAGGAAGACTTACCTTCTGATTTTTTTCAGTTCTGGTGTAGATGATCCTCCTAAATTTAATAGCAATTACTCTCCTCCTCACCTTTCCTAACAGTGTTTGGTGGGTTTCAGTGTGTTGTATGAAGTTAGGATTTTAAAAATACAAAGTAGGAAGCCAGGCAGGCACTGGTGGCTCATGCCTGTAATCCTAGCTACTCAGGAGGATCATGGTTCAAAGCCAGTCCATGCAGGAAAGACTGTGAAACTCTTATCTCCAATAAACCACCAGAAAACCCGAAGTGGCACTGTGGCTCAAGTGGCAGAGTGCTAGCCTTGAGCTGAAGAACTGAGGGACAGCACTCAGGCCCAGAGTTCAAACCCCATGACAGACAGAGAAAAAAAAAAAGCAGGAGGTTTTCTGCTCAACTGTCTGTATGCGTAAACCAGTAACTAGAAACCATTGCCTAGCATATCTAAGAAACTGGAATTCTTGGCATATGGTAAATATAGCTAATTATCAGCTAAGCCTGGTAGCATATGACTGACAACTCAACACCTTGGAGACCAAGGCAAGAACCTCATTAATTTGATCCAAGCCTGGCTATTTCAAGGCGAGGCGAGGCAACCTGAGATACACAATGGGACACTTTTTTATTTTTTATTTATTTATTTTTTTTTTTGTCGGTCATGGGGCTTGAACTCTGGGCCTGGGCACTGTCCCTCAGCTCTTCAGCTCAAGGCGAGCGCTCTACCACTTGAGCT